TTACATCCTGAGTACTATCTTTCGATACAACAAACTTTATGTGACAACCAAACAACTTGCAAACACCAACGACAGAATGAGTTTGTTCTACAGCACTAAAATTATCTTTCGACTGGCCGACATAAACATTTTTGAGTGACACATTTGTTAAATCTTCAGTAGTACGAGTAGTAGTAAATACACCAGATTGTATTCTTAAAAACAAGGAAGAAAACGTCCCATTCTCATCTTCTTGCTACAAAATAACAGTAAGCCAATAAATACATGTAATGTTACAAATATAATATATTAGTAATAAAATCAATCTCAAGTGAAAGTTTAAATAATTAGTTCAAAATATGCTTAAACATCATACCTGAATAATGGTCCAGGGGACAATAGTAGTCTCATCCGTAACAACAGTGATGTTCAAATACATTTCAGCATATAATCTGTAATCATATCTATTATACATAATTTTATAAAGCCGGTTACAATACCTTATTATCAAAATTAGAAGAAACCACAATTTATTATGCCACTTTGCAGCAGAAACAGGTAGCATCTGGAGGTGTATAGTATTGGTAGACTACTTGAAGTGTAGCTAGTATTGAACTGTGATAACTACTAAATATTTTTTCAGTTTATGTATGAATAATATTAGCTAACTTACTATGGTAAAATTAATTGTGGTGACTGTAATGTAGCCAAAGTGACAAAATTAAATTAATCAGTGCTGTCTCAAAATGGCGGCCTTCCCAGCGTCCTCAACTCGGTGCTCAAGTTAGCTCGAGTTAGCCTTTAGAACGTAGAGCGAGCTTGAAGAGCACTCTATCCAGCAGCTATGGTAGCAGCAACGGTAACAACTTGAGAGGACCGATGAAGCTAGGGAAGAAGAGTACTCTCACGCCCTGCGTCCGTTTACTTAGCACCTCAGAATCACAACTGAATCACACTCAGAAGCACAGCTGACAGATCCGCAATATGCCTAAATAAGACTAGAGTAAATTTTTATGTAGTTTTAACAACTACATACCTTGAAAAAGATGAGGAAAAGTTGCTGACACTCTAGCTGACAAAATTCGGTATTCAATAAGAATCAATAAGTTAGTAAAGTTACAATAACAGAAAATTGGCGCGCAACAGATTAATATGCGGGCGGGGACGAGAAACAATGAATCTAATTATAACGGCCTAATCTTGTTTCTCAATTATGGCTTTAGTGTCTTCAGGTATGTTAGCTCTCTGCTAGGCATAGATTTTAAAGCTTTTGCTCAGCTAGTACTACCATTAATTGGACTCTACCCTACTGAAAGTGAAATGGCTGCCCGGCTCTATCTCACCTAATTTTAGATTAAATTAAATTAATTCTGTTTTAAGATTTTTACAGTTGTGAGATGCTGTTGAGGTTTCAAGACTGAGCTATTATAAGTCTATAACAATTGGTTCCGTGACTGCTGTAGAAGATGCTTACCCAAGTTGTATGGGAAAGGCTAAAATGCATTAAATCTTACATATTCCTGAAAAAATTATTCCATTTAGTCCACCATCAGCTTAAAATACAGAACGGTACAATAATTATTAGCATTTTTACGTTGTAATTTTTATTATACGTGCGATTCAATTAATTGAATTGGTTGGACTGGAAATATATTGTCAAATAGACAAGCTCCCAGCCACGATATTGCTGCTTGTTTCAGTGAGTCATTAAAATAGTGGGGCTATCTTAAGTGAAATCGTTGGTTAGCAACAGTAATTAAGTATTTATTTAGATTGTGTTTAAATAATAGGGCTCGCAATGGTTTGATAGAGTTATGTCAATCAAATGCTTACTTGTCTTTTTTTGGTGAACCATCCACTCAGATACACAAGCATCATCATGGACAGCTGTCAAAAGGAAAAGCATTTTTATTACAGTTTCTTTTTATTCTTAAATAGGCAGTTAAGAATGACAGGAACCAAATCATAAAGAGCATCAATAGATATGGCACTTAAAATGCCTGTAGCTGCTGATTCTGCAACAAAGCTTATTGGATCATCTACAGCTGCCTCAAATTTACAGATTGATTTTACCCTTGCAGGAGAAATTTGTGCAGTTTAAAATGCAATAATGGGAGAAGAGAGGCTTACAAACACTGGAGAATGTATTGAAATCAGAAATGGGAATGATGAAAGTGCATGTATAATGAATCAATGCATTCATAATGTGATGTCTTTACATTGTAGGTTGTATATCGTATTTTCTTGAGCTGTTTGGAGGCTGCAAATGGAGAAATGTTTTGTATCACCAGACTTTTTACTTTTTTGTTTCTCACAAATGACTACAACTGCCCTATTTTTGACCATTAGTGACTCTGTAATCCTAATTCCTTCAAATATAGTGTTTAGAACATATCTAAAAAATTCTTTTCCATACAAATGTGGTTACAAAATGTTTGGCTAGTTCTAAAACTACATTGTGCATAGAGTCAATAACTGACATAGTGGGAAGATTGAGGTAAGGTAGGTCAAATACGGAAGAGTATCGACAGCCAAGTTTTGATTCTTTTTTTTACAACTCTGTTTAATTCTTACATGACGATAGTTGGCTAACATTCTGTTTATGCAAGTCATTAGTGGGACAAATCCAGGAGGCTCTGTCAAATCCAGAATAATCCAATCTATTGTTACTAGAGGATAAACAATACTTTAAACATTCTTAACACCCTAAATAGGCACTATGTCCTAAAATCTGCAAAATTTGTGTCCTTCAGGGATATCACAGGAGCAGCAAGAACACAATGTACCATTCATTCCAGAAATTACATCCATTATGACACATTCAATTCCACACCATCCCACAATAACTTGAGGTTTAAAATCAAAGGATTGATGAATAAAGTAACAGCTTGTTCTGTCTCATTGGGTCCTGGAATAATTTCAATAAGACAAATTATTTTGAATTTTGTATCGCTTTTGACGGGGAAGATTAAGAATTGTCAAATAAATTGCACCAACTGAATATGCCAGGTGCTTATAAGGTTGAAACCTATAAATTTTAATCATACAAGCATATGAATTATCATTCAATACAGAAAAATCATTTGTCCCACCAGCAGAGCTCATCCAGACAAGTCCATCATACACATCATGTTATCCTTCATGATCTATTTCACTTTCCCTGTTTTTCCAACGATTTCATGATTTCACAAATTATCATCCATTAATAGATTTTGAAATGATATCTCCAAATCAATATAACAATGTCATGAATGGGTAAAAAATTTCTTGCCTGAAGCAAATTCAACTGTCTTCAACAAAGCTGCATCACACAAGTGTATACATACTAAAATGTGACAAATTCCAAAATCTCGTAGGCTTTTATACTATCCACTTTCTTCAAAGCAAGCAGAATACTACCACAACTTAGCAAAGACAATATCTATCAAACAATGGTTATGTTACTCTTGTGTAAACTTTTTGACTCTATAGTGGTCTTGGAAAATTTGTGGCTACAGAATATGGTGGACAAAACCGAGCCAGAACAACAGATAATATATTCAAAAATTTGTCAGACAAATGAAATTACAATTGTAGTGACAAAAAAGCTATTAACAAGCAAGATTGCTAGATGCCTGGGAAACAGGATCTAAATGCAAAGAGGTGATTCATCTCGACTAATGATCAATATCGTCAAGATCATTCCATACTTTGACTCTGTCATCATCATCTGTATCATAAGAAAAATTTGAAGTGATAGAATTATTTAATGCACTTGATAAGTAAGTCTTTTAGCATTGATAATAGCATCTATAATTTACTTTTCCAGGAAACAAATTGCTTAGCTCATTTACCTTGGTTCCTGCTTACATCGCTGCAACTATAATCAAGTACAGTTCTGGTATTATTCCCTTAGCTGCAAAACTTAAATATTTATCCTTGTCTGATTCAGGTGATGTGTCAAAAGAAAAATGAGAAGGTTCCTCAATGTCAGAGTCCACAAAGTCAAACACTGTTGATATATCATCTGTTAGTTTGGGAAATTCATTTGGCATGCCATTGGCCAGTCTCAGCATTGTAGTACAGCCTTGTATGTGCCTTTAAGTATTGTAAGCAACAACTTCAGCGCAATAAGGACAAAAACGTTAGTTTAACTTAAGTTTAAGTGGTGGCTGTGAGACATTAGTAAATCAAAGAGATGCAAGATGTCACAAAATCAAGTTACTAGAGAGGTGGATAACGTCACTAATCACGAGGATGAAAATAAATAATACTATGATTCAACTACAAATTGTGAATTATCTGACGTTGACTGTGGAGGAGTGTCTGAGTGTGTTTTGACACTCCAGACAAACATCCCGAACATATTCCTCTTCATAATCAGCAGCTTAGGGTAGTGAAGGATGGCTGCAGCAATTCTGTAGTACCCTTGCGTCAGGTGATAGTGTGAGCAAAGGAGAAAGGATGCCAAATATCACTGCTGGTTCAGCTAAGGCCAAAAGCAATTGAACCTTTCAAGATTATCAAGCAAACCACATAGTACCACTTTTAGAAGGGAAAATAGTCGACTTGTTAGGAGATCCTGTTATTCTCTGATGATACATCCAACACGAAACATAGGGTACTAAATGAAATTTTTTTGCAACTTGCTACACAAATTGAGTGCATCGACAAGACGAAATCTCAACTGAAAGAAATAGAAACCAAATTAACATCTCCTTCCTCTTCATTTAGTGTATCTTAAGAAATGCCAAAAATAAAAATTTCAACCTTTGTCAGGGTTTTTTGTATGGCATATACATGTAGATAATCATCTAATTTAATGGTTGGCAGAAGCAAGATGAACATATAACGCCCACCTTGATTCTAAAATGATTTCTCTGGTCTTGACGCATCCCCAAAGTAAGACATGTAGTTGTGTGTGCTATCCATTATGCATTAATACATAGGACATCTTTTCAGGACTCTGTTATTAAAGCAGTAGTTGATACATAACTAAGACAAGTTCATGGGAGTAATGAATATTTTAATGCAGTGATATATGAAGTACAACTAGCCTTATTTGCAGTACATGTTATTTTACAGCAGCTGCTGATACATACTACAAATCACTATGCCAAGAAGAGAGGTTTGAGAGAAATGGAAAGCTAGATAGAAGAAAATTCAACAGAGGCAGCAAGAAAGACATGCAAGGATAAAGGTAGCATTTAGTGCCTTGGAGCTAATGACATTTTTCATAGCAGTGGTTAAATTAATGACTGTCACAGTTTAGAAGAATGTCCTTTTGTGAGAGCGACAGAAGAAAGTGGGAAAAGGTTATAGTGAGTTAGGTGATTTTAAGTGATAAAAGTGCTTGCAAAGATGGACAATCAATATAAGTTCAAATAACATCCATTTTAATGCTGTTT